CGGTCCCTGCACAGGAACCGAACAGCTTCAGACAAAATGTCCCTGACTCCTCTGCCTGCTCGCCCTTGTCTGTCTTCACGTCTGTTTGGACACATAAAACTGGTGAACTGTTCCAACGCTCACGGTCTCCAGTCTGTTGCTGATACTATGGGTCCAGCCTCACACCCATTACACACGTAGAACTAATGAGCAACCTTTTAAAAAGTGTTCATAAGTTGGAATAAAGAACATTTATAATGGTTAATAGATAATTTACACATGCTTTATAGATCTGTATAAGCCATCACCAAGAACACATTTAGGATGGCCTGATTGTGAAAAATTCCTTTGCCTGGTATTTAGCCTTTTTATTTGGTAATAATGTTGTTATAAATGTTGGTAATCCATTAATAAATACTTTATAACTTGCTAATGATAAGTGGTCAAAAAGATAAGTGGTCATCAGTCCAATCAATCAAAGAGATTTTTCACAACCCGCAACCCAAAAGTTGCAATCGTGGGTTTTACACTTTAGTCATCATTTATTGACCATCAATAAAGCCAGTAGTTACAACTTACAATACAATAAACATGCTGTAGGGTCAGCGTAATGTTAGATTCTGTAAAACATTGTTGCTTTTTACTGTAATCGGTGTATACCCAAGATTTATGTTTAATGGCTGCAAACCAAACTTTTGGGATAATAAAGTTGAAGCTGAATTGCAGAATATTGTATTTAGCCAAAAGTACTCTCATTCACTTGCAATTTCTCTCCCTGGAAAAACTGTGTAATCCTGAGAGCCATCTGAACTTGCTCTATGGAATCGGCCCAGACACTTATTTATCAGTTAAGATGGCTAGGATAAAACAATAACGCCAAAGGGGTTTCTAGGAAAACAGCTCAAAGGTGAAGCTGGAGGAAGTGAGAGAATAGGCTGTCTATGAATAAAGGGCAGCATCAGTATGCCAGCTATTTTTTTTAGTAATCAGATAACCTATATCGGAGAGATCACACATGACTAAGGGTTTTTGTGCGTCACTGTCTGCAGCCTCGCCTCTGAGTCCCCATGCAGACCAGTGATAATCCTCTGGGCAGGTGTCTGTGAATACATTTCACCCAGCGCTGCACTGAGACACAGACACTGCTTGCTGTTATCTGAGTATCAAGCCTGTCATGTAACAAAGTTTTACATAATCACTAATGTCACGTTTACTTTTGCCTACGTGTTACTTGATGTGTGCTGCCAGTCTGTGTGCGTGTGACTGATGTTCATTTTGTTCTTATGGTATTAGATATAAGTGAAGGAATGTGTCTTATCGTTGAACAGACTGGTATAAGAGCTCTTGTGACAGAGAGACACAAACACCTGGTGACAGATAACATGTGAAGGATACTCGTTTTCTTTTTACCAAGCATGGTATGAGGAGAAATAGGTAAGAACATTATGATTTTAGTACAAACTCTACCAAGGAACACAGGGCCTATCACAGAGATATTGCATATATATATATATTGTGCAATTAATAGTCTATATACTTGTTGGAGAAATTATACATGAACTGCATACTTGTTGCATGAGGACAAATGGTTTTTGTTTTTGTGCAGAAGGCTATTTGTGTATTTAGTTGAGGATAGCAGATTCAGTAAGGCATGCAAACTGGTTTCACCTGACTGTGTGCATTAGGCATTACAGGCAGCATTTTAAGGTCCACAAAAAGCTACAGTTACAAAGAAGGGGTAAATAAGGAACTAATTACAGTAATAAGCAGCTAACACATTTTTACATAACTCAGACTCCAGAACAATGCACTAAAACAGTGAACAGAACAGACTGCTAGATACAAAGTTGATGATTTGTATAATTATTAGTTTATCAGAATATAAATGCTTAACATCTTCTCCTGATGAACTCACAAAATCGGCAGTCAACTTACTTACTTACTATATTAATTAAGCAATTTATTAACTATTAATTACTCAGGCTAATTTAGTATTACTCATTTAGTATCAATCTATTTTAGTTTATGAATAACACTCAAATCATTGTTCAGATAAAATTTTACCTTTCACATCCGTGTCATTGAACTGTTGTTAAAAAGTAAGCACATTTACTTAAGTACTAGTATTATACTTAGTATAATCTTGAGTTACTTGAGTATTTCCATTTTATGCTACTTTTTGCTCAGTATTGACAATTTAATACTGTAATAACAACGGAAGTATATTTTCCTAATAATACTTCTGTACTTTTACTTAAGTAGGATTTTAAATGCAGGACTGTTACTTGTATTAGAGTGCTTTAAATTGTGGTATTGCTACTTTTACTCAAGGGTCTAAATACATCTTCCAACACTGTATTTACTCGTGTTAGTAAGCTATACTAAATACCATTCACTTCTTCTTTACTTTCATAAACCTAATTTCTAATAGCTGCTATTCCACCTTTTCATCAATATCTTTTTGACAGTCTCCTTATCTGAAAAGAGGCCATTATATCAGCAGATCATGTTCAGTCTGTCATGGATCAGGCTTTATTGTGAAAAGCAAAATGAAACAGGGAGGAGAGTATTGCTTCAGTGAAGCATTTCAAAAAGATAAAAGGCAGGACAAACCAGCCTCCGCCGTACTTTCCACAATGAGCAGTCCCCTGAGACAGGAGGCTACAACATATTATCATCCATTGTAAGTAGTAACAGGGGTTTTTACATGTGGTATTAGGCCAAAGAAGCTTTCAGGTACTTTTGACTGTGTTGTGCTGCCTTTTGAATTCCTGTAATGTTTATGTTATGAATTTTAATCACAGGTTTCCAGTCAACACGCCACATTGTTAGTGGCTGAGAAAAACTCTTTTAAAGCCGAGAGCAGAGACACTCGGCGGGATTCATCATGTCAGTCAAGCTTCCTAAGAGGCTGAGCAGCAAAAAGAAAAGTATGTTTATATTTTGTTTTGTCTTTTTTAACTGAATATGCTGTGGATATTATATTGATATTTTGAAAATTAATGAGGGACTACTGTTACAAAAAAAAAAACAGCAAACAGGTATAAATGGGAAGAAAACTTATGACATTCTTATTCTTAAGCTTAATGCAGTATTGGTCAATTTGGGGAGTTCAAACCAGATACCCCAAACCATAAACATGGTTTGGGGTATCTGACTTCGTGTCAAACCAAATGACTAACCTAGGAGACAACTGATGCATCTGTTCTTGCCCTTTGCCTTTGATTATCAGATGTGCAGTTCTCCAGACAAATCAGTGGTACCTTTTGGATATGCTGCTGCAGCAACCCAAACCAACACAGACTGTAACCCCAAAAACGTGTCTGTGTTTCTCCTAAACCTCAGCAAAACTAAATAAGTTCACTTACTGCTACACTCTACTTAACATTCAGTAAATGGTTTGTCTAATAATGCTAAATGTGTGACAACTGCCATGATACCAAATAATGTGGTAAGCTGTCAAGTTGAATTTTGCTAGGTCTGTTGATGTCATTAAGAAAGGCAGAAATTAAGGGCTGACCACTACAGGGCTGCCTGTGACTACTCTGGCTTTGGAAACAAAATGAGATAAAACATGCAGGCCAGGAGGGATGTGCTTGGATGAAAGCACAACATGTCTCAATGTTTTAATGTGTGTGGCTGATAACCTACAGGGATAATATGCCTTTTCTGTTAATAAAATGTTCATGTTCTTTGTTATACTTAACAGTTCATATGTAACATTAAATTAATAGTAAAATTCTTGTTCAGGAATGTTAAAATATTTTCTCATATTTCTTTTAAAGGCTGCTAAAAGTCTGAGGCAATATCTGAAAAAACATAAAGCACAAATTAAGGCTCAATAAGAACACAGTACAAGTCTATATCTGAAGACATGCAATACACATAATCTATATGTTATGCAAGTCCATTTTTATTTATTTTTCATTTTCAACAAAAACAAAAACAACTTTTATTGTTTTAAAGAATTCATGTAGTAAACCAAAGTATAACTTGAACATTTTTATCACTTCAAGAAAAAAATAGGAAATTCTTCTTGATCATATGAAATTAAATTTTATACTAAACAAGATAAAACTATTTTACCATATATGATTTAAAATTGTAGCTAATCCACATCCTGAATAATTGACTTGTTGTTTCAAACCAGAACCTCCAAAGGACAATGCCCAGGTAGAGGCTCTAAATAAGCTGGGCCTTGAGGCATTCTGGACTACACCACTGGACCCAGCATCTATGCTGGACATCAGCACTTGGGCTCTGGAGAACCAATCTCCTCTAGAGCCCAAGGATCTACCAAATGCTTTCCTCCAACGCCTATGGCTCCTTAGCCCAGATGCCCGGAGTCCTTGCTGCAAACCTCTGCATGATGTTGTGAACAATGACAACAAATCACCTAAGGAGATGATCAATGGTTTTGGAGAAAGCCAGTGTGCCATCAACCCCCTTGATCTAGTTACAGCTGTCTTTATGTCTGCCAACACTTTCCTTCGGCAGGAGATGACTGCACACATGGTGCAATGCCAATTTGCTGTGCCCCTAGTCCTTCCAAACATAGATCCAGAAGAACCCAGTCTCTTCCTTCTTTGGCCTTTGAGAGGTGTTGTGAGCCAATGGAGGTCTCACTTTCCAGATAAAAACAGGGAGGTCCACGAAGGGAATTTGGCAAGTACATACATGCCAATGGTTTCTTGTGTGAAACTTGGTCACTGTGGTGTCTCCAAGTCACAGGTGCTAAACAATCTTATAAATGGACTCAGATCACCCAGTGAAACATTTCTCCACAGGGGGATGGAAGGAGGACAGCTGCCCCGAAGACTCTCCAATGGCCTTGTCGAGATCGGATGGTATCTTCCCACTGGAGACACTGCCAGAGATATTTTCCCTGTCCCTGTGGTCATCTCTAACTTACGTGGTGATGCCAGTACACATGAGAAATATCTCAGGCTTCTATGTCAAGCATCTTCAGCTGTGGTTGTTTTCTGTGGGAATCTTAGAGAGAAAGAAAAACAACTTCTTGCTTCCTGCAAAGTTATGGCAAGCAAGCTTATACTGATTGACCTATCAGACACTGACAAGAATGAAAACAGAGTTGTGGGGTTTGCTGATCAGAACCTTGAAGAAAACATTGGTCTTCCTGGAGGATCAGTGTTGCAAGGCAGAGCTTTGAACGAGGAGGAACTGGCTAATAGGCTATGTGACACTCTGAAAGATCTCTTACCAGATAAACTGAAACTTGTTACACTTGAGGCAGCAGCAAAACTAGCAGACGAGCTAGGCCTTAATGTGGATGAAGGGGCAGTCTGTAAAAAAGCAATGGCCACAGTGGAGGAAGTACTGAAAGGTTTACACGAGGGATCTGCTCAATTTAGGGAGAAACAGCTTCCTTTGCAGGGGCCTTTGTGGAGCAAACTGGGTGAAATAGAAAAGGAGGAAAGAAAACAGAGACACAAAGGAGAAGAAATTGACCCCCAACTGCAACAAGAAAAGAAAGACATCTTGGTAGAGTTGAGAAGCTATAAAATGACTCCAGCAATGAAGATTTTCACTGATGCGCTTTTCACAACAGATAAAGTGGAGAGGACTTGTTTTCTTAGTTGGATGAAGCTAAAGCTTCAGCTGCTGCAAACAGAAAAACAAAACAGTTCACAAGATCTATTCACAAACCTGCAAACAGAAAAGAAAGATGGCATGCTTGAACATTGTGATGAGCTTGAAAATGGAGCTGATGACTACCTAGGGGACAGTGATAGTTTCTGCACAGATTCAACATTTGAAGAGAAACAAACTGAAGAGCAGCCTGTAAATACTGAACTGCAAGTTTCTGAGCAACAGTTTGAGATAGGCCATGAGTCAGAACATATTTTGCAGGAATATACAGAAAGGACCACAGAACCACAGTCACAGAAAGAACATCTTGAGTTCACACATGATCCAGTCATAGAACAGCAGTTATACACCATGTCAAATGAAAAAGAGATTCAAGGTGAAGAAATGATTGAAAACCTAGTCTGTTCTGAAGACCACATTTCAGATCCAGCCTTTAAGGACCAAAACTGCCATTTGGAGTCTGGAGAAAATGGAACCTTGAACTGTCAAGGGACACAGCAAGATGAACCAGAGCTGACACTAGCTGAGTCAGATTTGACGACTTCTGCCCAACAAGAAACATACCCAGATGTTTCCTTTGAACATCAGGTAGCCTCATGTTCACAGCCTTTTGAACCTGATTCGTCCTCCCTGGGGCTTGAGCACTTTTTGCGGGAGATGGGCCTAATTTTTGAGTTAACACACATCAACCCCGGCAGTGGGAGCCAAAATGTGTTGCGTCTCCCTAGCATAGCTACAGATCTTCTTCTCTACGGGATTCCACTTGAACTAATGGATGGAGATGCCTCAAACATTCCCATCCACTGGTTAGGCTGTGTCTTTGCAGAGCTAAAACGCCGGCTACCTCAAGAACAGTGCAGGACCCGAGTGTTGACAAACCTTGGAGTACACCATGCTTGGAATGCTGAGGTTCTTTCTGCATTATTTGGGGTGAAATTACCTGAAGGAAGGAAAAGATCCACTAGAGGGGTGTACATGGTTGCCCTTTGTGTCCCTGATAACCTTAGAAAGGACATGGAATGTGATTTTCTGTTGTTAATTGATGTAGAAGGTTTCTGCTCAGACAACAAAAGAAATACACTACTTTACGACAATGAGATGGCCACTGTTGCAACAGGATTGAGTGATGTTTTAATGCATAACATCTCTTCACATGCAGGTTCCAAGTGGGAAACTAACTTCACTGTCATAGTCAATGCTCTCCTACGCATCAAGGAATGTGGCTCCATGCCCATTTGTCAACTCCTGACCCAGGATGAAGAATTAAACAGTGTATTACAAGCCTTACAGTTAAAACGTGTATCTGATATGCTTCAGACTGAGACTAGGGACAGAGAAACTAACAATGCTGATAACCATAATGCAAAGACCTCAGTCTCTATCACCTGTGTCAAGGGGCCTTGGTACAATATGTCTCTCTCTGAACCAATTGATACACAGTATAGTAAGGCTGTGTTGAATCTTAAGAAAAACCTGTTTGGATCATTGAAAAAGTGTGCAGCTAAGTCTGAAGCTACAGGTCTTCCTGAATTTATGAGCCGTTTGTGCACTGTTTGGGATGCAGTGAGAGCAGACTCATTCTCCATTGGTCTGCAAGATACTGACATAGCTTTAGCATTTTCTTTATTGTGCACAGAGCTTTCCCAGTGGGAGGATAGTTTGATGGGACACATGGAAAGCTGGCTATTGGGGGCAGCAAAGAAGATCTTTGCCACAAAGGCAAAGGATTTAGACGCTACAATCCAAAATGACCTTCTAATTAAGTTGAAGGATGAAGGCAGAGAGGAAGTCAAAACAGAGGTGGACAATCTCAGGTCAAAAGTAGAATCCTATTTGATGAAAGATGACCATCTCAAAATGAACACATTCAAGACAGTCCTTATGAGCAATATGGATGACCTCCAGGAGCGAGTAACTGAAGAGATAATAGAAAAGTTGGAGACTGTTACTGAGAGCCATTGTTCTTCCACACAGTTAAACAAATTTGAGACCTTACTGAAAAAAGAACAGGAATCGAAGTTAAATGCACTGATAGAGAAGAGCAAGACAACCAAAGTTCTGTTTCAAGATACAGAACTAGAAGAGGAGTTTGATGGTGTGTGGAGTGATATGTTGTCCAACTTTGACTTCAGGCCTTCAGAAACAGAAGATATTACTGTAAGAGTGACTGATATTATGAAAGAGAATCTAATAAACCGCGGCCTACAGAAACATATGAAAAAAATTGAAGTCATGGGCCAAAAACAGGAATCAAGCTTCTACGTTTCTGATGAGCACTTTGGATACCGCAGCAGATTAAAGCACATGTTTGAAGACAACAACAGACTACAGAGGTTAGAAGCTCAACAGGTAGCATGCAATATCATAGAAGAATACAATCAGTTTGTAGCAGATAAAGTTAGCTTATCAGCAGATTTCTCTGACAGCTACATAACAGAACTGTTACAAAATGTTGAAAAATCTTTGAAGGAAAAATCTATGGAAATCAGATCTGCTTTTGAAGTTGATCTGAAGGTTTATCTCTGTAGTAGAGCATGCCAAGACTTCCAAAAACTACATGACCGCTATGCCAAGGACAGAGAGCTTCTGACATGTATCACTGCAGCCAAGAGTACGTACTTGGCAGAGTTCATCTATCAGTTTAGGAAGAGAGACCAGTGCCAGAGGCTGGCTCAAGTATTCACCTCCATGGTCATCAAACCTACAGTGTTGGACTACATCTATAAACCACTGGGGATGCAGATTGTAGAAGAGATCCAAGGTCATGCTCAGCAGTATCAGTCCCCAAGTGCCTTCCACCAAAGCCTGCTTGAAGACCTGATAAAAGAGGATTGCTTTGAAAGCTTCCTTGAATATTTGCATTCCTATGACAACTTCAGACTGAGGAAGATCCAGGAGAAAGTAGCGGCTCACCTCTCTGAATCAACCAACTTGGATAAATGGAGGCAACAGAGACTTGGAAAAATTGTAGGAAAGTTTGCAGCAGCAGTGAGCGAAACAGCAGAAGGTACCAATGGAGTGCTGAGTGATACAAAGCCACTGCTGGAGAGAGTGTGCCTCACTTTAGAAAGAGATGGAGATGTGGATGTCACCAGGGCCTCTCTGGATGGACCTCTCTTCAGTATCACCACAGAATGGGATCGCTTTATTACATGTTTAATGGAGTTACTGGCTGCAATGCGTTTAAATCTGGCCCAGGAGTTCTCCCAAAATGCGGATATCACGCAACTTCTTCAGTGCCTTTCAATTCAGCCCCAAGACTCCCTCTTCAACAGAGTGAGAGGCTGTGACAAGCAATGTCCTCTCTGCAAGACCCCCTGTGAGTTGTTGGAAATGGGGCATGAATTTCACAGGGCTCTGCTCCACAGACCCAAAGGCATGTTGCCCCATGACTCCTGTTCTCTGTCCGGTAGCAGTTCGCTGGAAAGCACGACAGAGGGTGACCAAGGCCAAAATGAGGACACACACAACATGTCTGTGGTATGCAGGGGGCTCGATTCCCTATATCCAGAATGGAGCATCTCCCTTGAGGACCCAAACAGCCAGATGCCTAATGCTTACTGGAGGTACTGTGTGGTTTATATCCTATATATATATATAT